ACCCATGTAAAGGTCGTGATGCAAACATTAGAAAAATCACAAACTTTCACGATTGTTTCTCTGGAAATGTGTTCAAGTATCATTAGCTTTTTCTTTCAAAAAGCAATATTGATTCTAAATATTCTGTAGAAGTTTTCATATGCTTTTTAATAGCCATTAGTAAATATTGAAAACACTTTTAATCGAAAATATTTTTAAAATGTAACGCTATCATTAAATGTTCACTAAAGTCTCTAAAGATTTCTAATGCTATTTGTACAGTTTTAAAAAAGCTTTCATTATAAAGCATTCCTAATTACTCACGTGTTCCAAAAGAAAAAAAATACTCAGCTGATGTTAACGTAGTGACAATTAGTATTTTTTCTGATGCTTGCATGATGAATTTCACAAGAAAAGTCTATCTCAATCCATTCTGTTCTCATCACAAGATTGAAGATTGAATTGAAGCACCAATACATCATAATACATACGAGATTAGTGTCTCAACAACCTTTGTAAGCCTTCCCAAAGGCGTAAAAGATTATGTATAAAGTCATATGTGACTTATTATAATTATTATCGATGTTGCTCAAAATGAAAGCTAAATTCTGATAGAAAATAAAAACATCAAGAATTGTCATTGATTGTTTCATGTTGAATTATTTTCTCTTCAACCCTATTAGAATTACATGTCACTTTGAATTATTGCACTGACTGTCTTTATTTACTTGATGGTTATTTCAAAGGATTTCAAGCACTTTGTGTTAATATTAATTATATTCTCTCTTCACATCTACAAATAAATTACACAGTGGATGAAGTTTTTTATTAATATCTAATCGATTCCAATGAAATTAAACTTTATTTTTTCTAGGAAAAAAATACTTGGTTTAAGTTTTTATTCACTGTACTGTGATATGAGAACAGATGTTTATGATAAATTAGTTGTATGTATGCGACATCAACTGTTAAACTTAGCGAAAAATGATTTATATTTTTGTAGTTGTTGACAAGGTAAAATTTATTGATGATAATGAAATGAAAAAAAAAGATAGTTTTAATTATCTACTGCTATTAAACAAATTTCTATTTAGTATGTACTCATCCATTCATTTGAATGGCCGAAGTAATTTACCTTCAAATGAAGCTATTCAATATACATTTAGAAGTTTCAAAGGTAATCAAATTATTTCTTATGTTGATTACTCTCTAGATATAGAAGACAGTCTATGTTCTGTCTACAACTATCCATATAGATTAAACTCTTTTAATAATATATCAGATAATTTTTTCAGTAGACTATTTAGAAATGTTTATGAAAATCAAAGCTCATGAGGATTACGCCGAACAATTGTTTAATGGATAAAAACAAGTGTTTACCAAACAATCTTTAACTTACTATTGATTATAAGTCTTTACAAAGAGTGACACATAATTTGAGAAGAGATACAATACGAATTAATTATGCAAAACTATGTTACACAAACTGTCCTGGACAAAAATATCTGTCCCTCTGACGTAAATTGCTCTTACTTCTTATGATATAAGACTAATATTTTGGATATAGATTGTTCTTAGTGAATTCTGATAACAAGCACCAACCCTTCTTCAATCGGTTGATATAAATTTGAGTTATTCCGATAACAATATCATCAGATATCTACAGTCAAAGTTTGGTAAGAAATTATCCTTGAATAACGGAGATCTGAAGTTTGCATTGAAAATTTCCATCAAGTAGGTAGCCATAGTTTTCAGTCTGGCGTCACTAACTCAAGCTCAACTTAATGAATTCAGTTGCAAATTTAAGCAATAAATTCTCATGAATCCACAAGTTTGTGGTAAAGTTTTCAGAGCTGTAGCTCGGTGGAGAGCGAGGAAATAGCCATCGGAAGAGTTCATCACGGCATAGATTGTCAATCGATGAAATTTCGTTATTATGCAACGAGCTTTGGACCAAAGAAACTAGATATCTTGGACTGCAATTAGTGTCAATAGAAAACGACAATAAATTGTAGGCAGACGAAACAACAAACGAACATTTTCTTAGATCGTATTTCCTTTTATTTTTTTTTTAATACGACGCTAACAATGCATCCATGCATAAGGTACTTCTATATTACGAAGAATTCAGCTCCAAAATCATGTTGCTGTTCTCATAGAGTTCTTTGTGAATTTTATTAGCCTTAAATGTACGTACTCTAGAATGCTTTGACAAAAAAACGATCATTCTCTGAAAAATGAGCACAAATTCATTAATATTCGAGAGCTTCGCATGCATAGATGCATTGTTAGTGTCGTGTTGAAGAAATTGAAATGAAATGCGATCTAAGAAAATGTTCGTTTGATGCTTCTTCCTTTTACAATTCATTTTCGCTTTTTTTTGGTACTAATTAAATCAAGCATTCATGCAACAGCACAGTATATTGCCTTGAGATAAAATAACCATAAACAGAGAGTATTTGGAAGAGGTGTGATATGTATTTTAATGATAATGTTTGTGAAGTGGGTGACGAACGTTTTTCGAAGTAGTACACCAATATCAAGCTATTTTGCAGCAGTATGCTCGCAAAAAGAACCATATCAACATGTCATGAATGCAAAGTGAAAAGGGTGTGGATATATAGAAGAACGAATTTTAGTGCACACAGACATTCACATCCGTCCCCATAAGAATACATACCACACTGTTTCCCAATTCTTCTCTATTTATGGCTATTTTATTTCAAGGCAATGTATGGTTCTCTTATATCATGCTGTTATGAATCATGATTTAGAATATAGGAAAAGCAAAACAACTCGAGTCAATGTTGGAAAAATTTAAAAAAAAGAAAGTGTTACATAATTAACAGGTGAAAGACTCATTAAATGTTTATTGACACAATTGATTCTCAAGTATATATAAAATAGTTATATATACAGTTCTATCTTGTTGTTTCTGTGTCACAACATTGTAGTAGATTCAAGGTATACTTCTTTTGACATGACTGCAAGGTAACTTGGCGGCGCTTAAATCATGCAATTATTTTATTTTATGCTCTAGTGAGGGTTCATTCAACTCTATCAGTATAATCAATGAACATTCGAACCAAACAAAGTCAAATAAGACGATTACTAAATATTTTCAGCAATTGTCCTTGCCTACATGCACTCGTGACCAGAATCGTTTTGGAAAACAGCTTCATTCAAATAGTCGCACATCGATATTTTTGCCACAAGAGTCATCCTTAAACAAAAATCATGGAATACCCATTTTGTGAGTTCTAAGGATATTGTTTATTAGAAAAGCAAATATTATTCAAACTTCTTCTCTGCTCTTTAGTCATCGACTCAAATCGACATCTCATCGTCAAACTGCAACACTTCAATTAAAAGCAATATTAAACGAGCCCGAAAGTTGTCTGCCAGTCTATATTCGTAGAGCGACAAGCACATTGGACGCAAACAAGGTATTATCGATAGATGAAATTTCGAAATTACTCAATACTCCGGCATTCATCATTGAACGAATAATAAATGCTCTAAAAATTTTGTCTACAAGTGAAGAATTAACCCCGTTGAACAAGAGTGCAGTACATAAATTTACACGTGTTCTTAACAGTACAATTGATGTACGAGCTCTTGTTTTTTATACCATGCTCGGTGGAAACAATCATCAATATATAACTGGGGAAGAAGTAACCGATTTCTATGAAAACTATTTGGCTGCCATGAAATCTTTCGATGAGAAATTTTCGCCAAATATTATTAAAGTTCTTCTTCAAAAATACCACCTCGATGAAGTAAGTTCATGCGAAATATGAAAAATAGATCATAATAGATTTTTCATTTCGTTATTCTCAGAAACCTCAAATAGATTTCGAAGAATTCTATTCAATCATCACAAATGATGAAGCTTTATTACAATCATTTTCTCAATTTACTCTTCACCCAACATGGTTTCATAGCCAAGAGGTGCCCACATCTAATAAAAGTATTATTCAACAAGTTTTTGCGAGAGTATCTCAGCAAAAGAAGGTCTATGATGAACAGAAGAAAAAACTAACACTTGAATATGTCAAAGATAATCTTGCACAAGTGATTATTATCATTTTTTATATGGTAATGAATTTGGGATTGCTATTGTATGTTATTATCAAACGAGCCATAATAGACCATTCGCATGTATTTGTGGTCTTTGCAAGAATTGGTGGCATGCTATTGAATTTCAATTGTTCACTAATCGTTATTCTCATGTTGAAACAAACAATTTTACTCATTCGTACAAATAAAATTCTTCGAAAAATGTTACCTGTCGATGACCATATCGGTTTTCATAAATTCATCGGTCGATTTATAGCCGTGCTATCCATAATTCATACGATTGCCCACATGGCGAATTTTGCACGACTCACTGGTTCGTCATTTTTTATGCACAAAGCAACCTACAACTATAACGATCTTTTGTCCTTTTTTAGACAAGTATCCGTGGACCTATTACATGGTAAGTTTATCATACACATTTTCATGCTAATGATGAGTGTTTCATGATCATGATGTATTTTGTAAAACTCGTTATAGACTCATGAGTGCAATTTTGCATAAAAGATTCATTTCCTCACGTCTGATGGATACTTCTTCTGTATTTTTCTCTCTTTCCTGCTTTCAATTGAAAGCAACAGAATTTTATCATCGGATATCATATGAACCTAGAATATTTTACACTTGATCATTTGAGTAATGTTCAGATTTTCGTAAAAATAAATTTTCTCACCGAGAAAAATTTTCATCCTCACATCATAATTCATCGAAAACAAAAACGAGAAACTTATAGAAAATTACCAGGAAATTTCAGAAACTTCCACTAAGTCGTATGATAGAGTTTTCTTTTCATCATATGAATAATTGTATGTATTCGTATAGAATACTTCCAAAAATTTCAGAACATACTAAAATTTTTTGAAAAGTGATGTGTTTTGGAAAGGTTTGTTTGGCTTGCTTTGGTAGGCATTGTGGTAATTTATGAACTATTCATTTTGTATAGCATGTATGTTGATGTAATTTCTGATGCTAGTAGGTTAATTTTCAGAACCTTTGAGTGCTGTTCCTACAGATTTTAAATATAAAACATGATGAAGTTATTTCAGATATGTCGCAGAAACCTAACTAACTAGGTATGTTGCAGTATTTTTGAAGACAGATGACTGATGCATACAAAGAGACTTATGCTGCAAATCTTTCAAAATGTATATCACGATCTATGATGAGTCCTGAAAACAGCCTGTCAAATTTTTACTATGGCCTGTGGAAACAGGGGAGAGGCTGATTCCTTTTTCTCGTTATCTACTTTCATATTCATTAAGAATCCTGTTTCACAGAAACTCGATATTGTCTGCTATACGAAGGAAATAATTGTATCAAAAGAAAAGAGGAACTACTAACGAGACATCTTGTAAAGATTGATTTTCGGATCCATATATGCATATGCCATCATTTTAGTTCACAACATATCCAAACATTGGATGGGTACGCGGAAGTGCATCATTGACAGGTATCATTCTGTGTGTTATTCTGGGAGTTATAGTAGTTTTCTCGATGCGTTGGGTAGGACGTACTGGCCACTTTCAAGTAAGTACAGTTGATCGACTTTTTATGACTTGTATATATATATCATAATGCATTTTATTTATTGTAAGATCTTTTATTGGACACATCTTCTATATCTTCCGTTCTTCGTATGCTTGATTATTCATGCACCTGATTTCTGGGTTAGTTATACCTTTTAGATAAATCTATCGTGTATCTTTGTCACTTTTAGAAGTGGATAATTGCTCCACTTACTATCTTTGCACTCGAAAAAGCTTATTCGGTATTGAAACGATATTCTTCAAATAGTGGTCGAACTTACTTACTTTCTGTTTCTATTGAGCAATCGAATGTTATCAGTTTGACTATTCATCGACCAAAGAATTTCATGTAAATATTTTTCTCAATTTATCCGTATTAACATTTAGCCTTTTAATCTAGATTCGCACCGGGTGATTATATTTTGATTAATGTACCTTGTATTGCGCTATATGAATTTCATCCATTCACAATTAGTACAGCTCCTGAAGAACAAAATTATCTTCGAGTACATATTCAAGCCAAAGGTAATTGGACACAACTGCTTTATAAATATTTCAAAGATATGTCCGATAAATTTGGCGATAATGCATCCGTAAAAATATATCGAGCGGATTTGAATGCGATAAAAGCAAATGTCGAAGAAAGAATTGAAGCTATTGCATCTACAGAAGATTCGACAGGTGTTTTCAGTATAAATACCACGACGTCGTCACAATCAGAATCATCGAAACAGTCTAGCAAAACAGTGATTGTCATCAATGGACCCTATTCATCATGTGCTCGATACATCTTCGATTGTAAACATGTAGTTCTTATCGGTAGTGGTATAGGAATCACTCCATATGCATCGATTCTTTTCAGTCTTATGGCCAGATTTCGAACGTTGCGTACAGTTTGCAAAGACTGTCAAGGAGTCACTTATCATGGGAAACATCGCTTGGAGAATCATCATCTACAAAAGGTTGATTTTATTTGGGTAACTAATGATATAAAAAGTTGGGAATGGTTCCTCAATCTTCTTCATCAATTTGAAGTTGAACAAGATGAATATCTGGCATCGAATAGGGATGAACGTCGCTTTCTAGATATTCATCTATATTTTACAGGTATAAAAGAAGACGACAATATAGGTCAAGTTTTCCTTCATCACGTGATCAATCTATGCTCTGAAGAACTCGGTGGTGATATACTTACCGGATTGAAATCACGAACTCATTTTGGAAGACCAGATTGGAATATTCTGTTCGAAAGTCTCATATCAAATGATAGTACTTCAACAGAAAAAGATACTGATGTCTTTTTCTGTGGACAGAACTCCATCGGAAGAGATATTCGATCATGTTGTATGAAATATGGAATGCATTATTATGAGGAAAAGTTTCAATTTTGATTTTGATTTTACACTTCGTTTTTGAATTCTTAGTTCTTTCGTAGTTTATACCTGATAAGCTTGACTATCTAACTGATTCGACAATATCTTGATAGAATGCGTACATGTTTACTGCTATATAAATCATGTGCTAAACATTTTATATAAAAATGTTTCTTGATAAAGCAATACTGTACTTCTGAAATAGTAATGACAAAGCTCTGCATATAGTGAAAACATGTTTTTAGCATTGAAGGTGCTTTTGACCAATCGTTTATCGTAAATGATATGCAAGTACTCATCGAAATTCCCTATCTCATTTAATCGTGCTGAAAGAAATAAGCATATATCCAACCATTAAGTGTATTCAAAATTTTCATTAGCGTCACTGTATCTTTTTAAGTGTTCAGGTTCATATAACTACTGTGTCGATTGATTATGGTATTGGAGTCTAGACCTATGATACTCCACCTGAATTACGCTTCATTAGTCAATAATGTTCGATTTTAGCTAAATAATTCAACTCTTCAACGTCCGTCCAAGTCGATTTCAAACGTCATTTCTACCAAGTGTAATGAATAATAACAAAAATAGAAATCAGTATCTTAGATTATCAAAATTTTCCCATAAAAATAAATACAATATGCGGTTAGATCATCTCAAACGGCAAGTGATCCACAATCTACTATGCTTCTGTATTGGTTTTCCTAATACAGATCAATTACCATTGACAATCGCGATATCTGAAACACTACACGATCATTTTCCTAAAAAAAAAGAAATCCACCGATTAAAGACGTTTCAGTCATGATTGTTACAAAATCAAGGTACAGAAAATTGCAGTCAATATCCCAAAGCTCATTTCGAAGCAATTTTGATTTGTAGTTCGTTATTAATCGAGTGATTTCACAATTGAAAAAGTTCCTAAAAAAGATAAAAAGATCTGCAACAATAGTCGAAAATTGTCAAGCAACAGTTTAATAGTCCCAGCAATCAACCCAAGACTTCATATTCACCGTCTCAGACCTCAGAGAATTTAATGGACAACTTTGATTAGGTCATATTAGTATAGGAAACAGGAGGTCTCCAATCACACCATACAAACTAGCAAACAAACTAACGTACTGTATAAAATGCTAGCGGCCCGTTCACACGAGGGACAACTACCAAGAACCAACTAAAAAATGTAAGATTTGCCTGCTTGATTCTAGCTCAGATCATAATAGTGTTTGCTCAATGTCAATATGAATGTTATTCATCACATTTGGACTGTCAAATTATCCAACAACATCACAAGAACTTGAATCAAATTGTAAAACAAGCTATTTACGATGGGTTAATCGAACTAGATCCTATAATAAGTCTTTTCCACTGTTTCTCATAGCTTCTCATCAGCTCCCTAGGTCGGGACTCTAATAAAATGCAGTATATATTGGGCCTACACTCAATGACTGCCTTGTAAATTAAACCAACAGTTAGATGCCAAATTGAAGCAAATCAACTATCAAATTGGTTAAAATAGAACAGCAAATCAAGATCAACGATAATAATATCTAAGCATATGCGAAACAATCTATCAACTATTATCGGAACGCCCAATATACTTACTAAAGCAGTCATCCACCTTCTTTCAGCTTCAGAACGAAACACAGATCTCTAAAGATGAATGAATCAGTAATTAAAATAATTGAAATCATAACAGTTTGGGTGTAAAGAGAGTGTGTGTAAGGGTGGATGTGGGTATGGATGTAAATCTTTTCTTACGCAACACCGACACTCAAATCCACACCCTGCTCACATCGCCATGAAATCAGTTTATCTCGTTTTGCTTGAATTTCATGAGATAGTGGATCTGCGTGAATACGTATTGAATTAAACTTTTAAACAAGAAAAATATCCACTTCTATACAGATGGCAATGTTTGTTGTTGTATCGCGAATGTTTTCTTAACCAAAAGTAATACTCTTGTTCTACCTTGGTGATAATACAATTCGAATTATTGAATTTTGACTTTTTTTGATCTAACCATTTCATTATAATTAGTAGGAGACAAACTCTTTTCATGATCTATACATAATCATTACATAGTTACTTGATGCGTCTCAAAACTGAACATTGAGGAAGATTATCACTTGAATGAAACCTTAAATAATGAATGTTATCGACTAAATGATTACATATGGAAGAAGTATTGCTCCTATTATCCGTTAATGTTCGCAGTATTTTTTTCTTCTATTCCTAATGAATATAAATAAGGTATATTTTGTAATAAAATACGAAAATTTTCCGATGACATTATCGCATTGTGCTCCAACAATAAATGTTGTAATTTAATCAAAACATGAAGCCAGTTGGCACAAACAAAGTCAGCATTACTAACTAAATTTATGACTTCAGCTTTTTTAAAATTTTCTTCGGACTCGGCGTACTTATTGTCCAGTTCTAATGTTTTAACATTTGCGCATAATATCAGTATATTAATTACTCGTACAACATTCGAGTAAAATTGAAATAATCTTGTCAAAATAACTTCTGAAAGTTACAAATCACTTAAAAGCAAAAGGTAATGAGTAGAGCATTGCGCAACATTGATATTTATAAGATATATCACAACGGATGAACCAATTCTGTTCAAGTAAATAGAAAAACACAGAAAATGATGTCATTATTTCATTAACGTTATTGGGATGATATGATAAATATTCGAATTGAAAATCAAATCTAGTATTTTTATGCAATGGAAATAATGAGCCAACCACTTGCTCTCATATGTGACCATTAAGAAGTGATCTTCCGCCTTTTTTTTTTGATAGATCTCGAGAGTGATTGATTGAGATAAATAAGTAAGTGACTCTTGCACTAATACAACATCCTCGTCATATACAAATTCGATTTTTAGTCGTTCTAATGTAAATGTCCATATGAAATCTGCTTGACACGAACAATCATTAGTTATGGTGTATTCGAGATTTTCAAGCTGAGACAAGTCCTGCCAAACAAATATCAATATTTATTAATAAATTCATTTTTTTTAATCATATTGCCGTGATCCGTTTCGTACTTCTATATAAACTAACAAAAAGTTGGTTCAATTTTGGAAGATTAAAGTTAAACATTATTAATTTATTAAGATTTGTAAGAAATCGAAGTTAATCGACTAGCATAATTATTATCTCTATATCCAGTCTTCAGTTTTAATATAGATAATGATTGAAGTTGAGCTAAATGCTCAACGAGAGAAAAATTTTCACTAAAATATTCAATCTATTCAGCCATATCATTGTCATTGGAAAGTTGTAATGATTTTCACTGTCGTGTATCATTTTGTCGAAAAACACGATCTAATTTCGCTTTGCTTTTTGATTTAAAGTCAAATAATTGACAATATTCAAACAATAAACATAGAAAACGATTATTCAGATTTGAGAATGCAAAAATAGTATCAATTCAATTTAAGTAAGAAAAGATTGCATCGCAGATTTCATTAGGTAAATGTTTCAATAACGCTGAAGAGATTTACTTGGATCTTTTCTTCTCCATCTATACGTCGTCTACTTCAAACGGTGGATGAATGTTCCGGTTATTTTGGTTTTATCTAAACTTGAAACAACCGAATGACTTAAACAGTAAAATGCAATAAATATGTTGGATATTTTCAAGTTTTACTCAGTATAAATGAAAAGTTATGTGATAAAAACTCATTCGGTATTGACAAGAAAAAATAGAAACTTTTCTTCTTTTTCGTTTCATTTGGGCAAAGAAATTTCTTTCGTTCTTTTTATTATTATTTAAATAACAATATCAAATCTTGTCGATAAACGTAATCGAGATCTCTTCATTGTGTGACATTGCTCAAAAATGAGATTAGTAATAGTAAATGACGAAAAACAAAGTATTTCAATAAAATATACTAGTGATATTTTCTGATTCCTAATGATCCATAGTTATTGTGCATAAAAGTTATCATAGTCGAGATTATGTTGACAAGGATCATTTTATAAATTAAACTTAGATTTAACAAATATTGGTATATAGATAATGGTTAATCATATAGCAAAACTTAATGTGACGACATCCATGACGTAAGAAAAACATTTTATCGATTTATTTGCTTTTATTTTACGTCATCGACAATACACAATTAATCTTCAGAGCAAGATAAACGAGAAAATGCACTCGACGAACAAGTAACATGGTTTATTATTTCTTTTCGGGCTCGCACTACTTCTTAAGGTATGGGTATCAGTTTTATTGTCTTATAAAGCTACACCCACGAGTGGAAGTCGTGAGAAGAAGTAAAGAAAAACATGAGATGACGAGTATGGTTCTGATATTGATAGCTAGTAACTTGGTATATTAATGTAATTACGCATCGTACTTGATACTGATTGTATCTATTCATTCAGTCTCTGATTTTTTAACATTTGATATCAGAATTACATTTTTCGACTTATATAAATTATTGATATGAATAATAATTACAAGTTTCATTCTAACTTATTGTATAATGATAAGACAGGGACTACATAATGTCGATTGTTGTATACTTTTACTTATTGGTACTTTGAAACTTTTTCCTCTAGATATTATCAAATCGATCTGAAATTACTACTAATCTACTCAGTATATAAGGTGCCGGTGAGTACGAGTGATTCTTTCATCATCCACATACGTACACTCACACTCTTGTTCTTTTTGATCTGTTTGATTTAACTAGAGGATCTGGGTTTGATTATCGTTCTTTTTTACGCATCAAAATTCACATTCACATTCACACTGACACGCACACCAACACTCTCATCAAGAACATAGCTCAGATTCAAGTTAATCATCGCTTTCTAACAAGTATTTGATTATTGTAACGTTTTTTTTTACAAAATATCAATGCAGTTATGTATTTTTGATTTTTTTTTCTCTGTGAAATTCGTCGAAAGAATTGGTTCTTACTCTATTAAAACGCCTAAAAACGAAAACATTTTGCATATAGTATTAGAAGAAAAACACAATAATATATTCTTTCAGATATATCCAATCAAAAATATCAGCTTGTAATATGAAACACATCAACGAAAAAGTGCTTTGCTTTGCTATTTACTTCCGATGATTCAACATTAACTGTATTTCATCAAAGCAATGTATCAATTAAATGGCATTACTTACTTACGTGAGAGCTTTTAATATTACTGAAAAAACGATGCATCAAATATCATTATTCACCAACGTAAATATGGTTTCATATTTTTACATAGGTTGTGGTAGTGTCAGGAGAATATGAAACCATGTTGACAATAAGTGATCAAAGGTTCTGAGATTTAAGAACTGAAAAGTATATAAAAAGAAAATCAGTTTTACACGACTCAGTATTTCAATAAGAAAGAATCGAAAATGCATCGTAAATCGTGCATCATCATTACCATCATTGTTACCTTCTTAGTAATTTGCATAGCGGTTCTTGCTGTATTGTTGAAATTTGTCATTCTTACACCAAATGGACCGAAAACAAATGCCCCTGAAACAGCGACAACACTGACAACAACAACAACTACAACTACTACAACTACTTTCACCACTTCTACAACTACTTTCACTACTTCTACAACTACTTCCACTACTATTTCCACGACTTACACTACCGCTTCCACTACTCCTCCTACTACTTCTATCTCTACCACTACTGTTCGAATTACAGAAACAAATTCCACAAACATTCCACCCCGTAAATTGTAGAACAATGTTCAGTTCAATCGTATTTTATTTTTTATTTAGGTAAATCACAAGGTTGCTTTGCATCTAATACAACGGTACGCCTAGCTAATGGAGACTTGAAACAAATGAGCGATCTTCATGTAGGTGATTTAGTATTTGTCAAAAAAGAAAATGAAATCATAACTAGTCCGGTCTTAGCTATTTTTCGGCATTATCGAAGTTCAATTCACTTTGTCGACATTTATACAACGAATTCTATTATTCCTCTTCGTTTGACACCACTACATTCATTATTAGTTCTTTCGAAACATGATAAACATGAACGTTACATATTTGCAAAAGATGTCTCGGTTGGTAATCATGTTTTCTCATCGGATTTACGTCCATTGGCAGTCGTCAATGTAAAAGAAACTTTAATATCTGATGACAGTGGCTATGCTATTTTGACATTTGAAGGTAACATAATTGCTAATGATATTGTAGCTTCGTGTTACGCAACTTACGATCATTCAACAATGCATATGATTACTACGCCTATGCGATGGTGGTTTCTTATTCTTTTCCAATTACGCCAATTGATCGCATTCGATTATTTGCAACATTTAACAAGCAATATTATTGTTTCTTTCGTTGATTTCTATCTTCAATCAATTTATTAAAATTGAATTACTAAGATACATTCATCACATTTTTATCTTTCATACACCACTACTAATCACATGAATTTGTTTTTAAGAGAGAGTCCACCACAGGATCGAGAAACCCCATACTCCCAAAAAAAAATTTTTTTTTTACGGATTAAAAACTTTTTGTTTTAGGCTGGTTTTGTAGCTTTTTTATTTGCCCATCCGATGTACGATCCAAATTTCTGGGATCAACTAATCTTGAGAGATAATTTCTCAAAAATACTGATTTTTGCTTGATAACTACGTCGTATCAATTTTGACTTAATCAGTGTGTAGTCATCAGTGTGGTCTGCATAACTTTTTTGTTATATAATCAATCGAGCAAATATTTTGGGTAGAGTAGTTTCACCTCATGGGCTATCGATTCCACAAATAAAATGAGGTGGCCAAAATTTTCGGGAGTATGGACCCTTTAAAAATTCCTCGATGATCTCATGGACGCCCTCTTAAGACTTATTTTTACAATAAAAATTGTATACACTTGAAGTTTGATCTTTAAAGATCTCTTATTGTATATTATGTTCAAACAAATGAAGGTTGTCTCCCCAAAAAGGAACATGAAAAATAAAATTGACCCTCACATGCACCTTTCCTTCTCCTTGGCATCATCGAGAATAACTTGTTCTGTATTGCGAACAATCTTGAGACAGCTGATATTATTTTTAGGACAATACTTAATGAAATGATTCTTTCTACGCTTATATTTTGCAATTTTTTTAATATTTAATCAAAATTTTCAGAGTTTGAATAATGGTTTTGTTGTTCGTCGAAGGCTTATTTTCTTTAAATACTTTCACAGAAAACATAACACTTTTCGAATTGATAACATGAACCATGTAGAAAAGAATTCTTGTTTTGTTTGATAGTTTCTATATTCATTGCTTTAGAAATAAATTAGTATGTTAACGCAACTCTTTTTTTTCACAGCAAATAATTTTCTTGTTTTCATTGATTATTTTCAAGAAACTTTGCTACAAAATCAATTCAATAAGTTATTTCAGATTGATATATACAACATAAAAATAAACAGTTAAAAAATGGATGAATAATTGACTTTTACATGAGCCTTAAACGCAATCATAAAATGGAATTAAATTGTGTTCGACAGTTGGATATATTCTCTCATTAGTATATAGAACATAGATGTCAAACTCAATTATCGATTTATAATGACTTAAACTATTGAATATTATTTTATTGTACATTATTCACAGCATTTGTTCATCTTTCATATTTCTTCTATCTATAATAAACATTTTTTTATAGAACACGAATAATATGATTTCACAACTGTCTTTGTTAAGATTTATGTAAAACTACGCATTTTGTTTCTCAGCGTTCATTCATATTTTTATTGCAAAACCTATATGCATTATCAAAACTAAGAAAGTCAAAATAGCTACATAATATCTCCTTAAATACTTAGTTAAATTTGTAAATAAGAAAATCACACCAGCATGCACACTTGATCTTATATATATATATATGTTTGATATTGCTATCGATTTTGTTTATAAAGTAGTATACCGCCTTGGAAGAGTTGAACATTCAATGGAGAACAAAGCGAATAGCATCGACCAGTGCTACTTATTTTAAAGTTATTCAAAGAATTATTGACGAACATTTAATTTTGAAATGAATAGTGTGTCTATTGACATTATGTTATGACTATAGTTTATTTGCTAAGTAAAATAATAAAAATGCTAAGTTGATTTTTCTGCATTAAAATTTGATTCTGCTCAATTAATTTAAAGCTTCTCAGTAATAAAAATATTTGCTAAGTTTGATAATTAATATTACTAAGTAATTTCTAATAAAGACAATGTATGATTATGTAAGATGTGATGAAATTTATTTTTGGTGATATGGACATATAAATTTTCTGTTTCTTGCTTTCCTTCCGCTAGAATGAAAGTAGTACTGTGGTGTATGTATAATTCACCTAAATTTTCTTGTATTCTGATGTCATGAATGAATGCATACATACTCTCTTCGAGAATCTTCTACTGCAATCATTTTTTCTTTCTCTCTTCTACTGTTTCTTTTATATATGATCTGTTTTGTTTTTTCGACAGCTGTTTCGTGTCTGTCACTTTCTAAACAGTTCTGGTTTCCTCTCGTTTTCCTATATATATATGTCATTGAAAGCTTGCTTTGAATGTACGATACGGGTGTCTTAAAATATAAGAAAAAATACACTTTAAATTCTAACTTTTGTATAAATTTTTGCTTTGATTTGAATTTTTTGTTTTTCTTGTGCAATTCGACGAGCTCTATCCAGCCATCATCAAAACCAACTTTACGGAAATTTTGAGTCGCAAGCACCTCACATATACTGTAAATGAATTCAAATTTGAGTATTCCGATTCATGCACTCGAACAGCAATCTATATTTTACATTTATTAGCTGGACGACGAAAACTGTATTTTCAATCAAATATATCTGGTTTTATTTACTAACAACGCAAGTGCTTCTAATGTCAGACAACAATTTTCGTTCCATACTTGTATAGTTGGTATGATTATCTATGACGAATAATGAAATAAATGATAATAAGTTGCTTTTTCTTCTAAAGAAATATGAATAAATCAATTAAAACATGTATTTGTCCCTTAAAATTCTTTTTTCTTACTTTATCATATTAATATTTAATGATGTTAATAATTTGAAGTATATTCAGATTAATAAAATTGTAAATTTCTAAAATGATGAAAATTTCTTGTGAATTTCCGAAAACTATTGGAACTTATTATGAAAACGAGAATCAATTTAACAGATGTTACGAATATTACGCAAATAATACTAGGAAATTCATGAACAAAATGTGGATATGAGGTGAAAAAAATATTACACTGAGACTCACAATACCCACACCCTGTACTGAGAAAGTTATGTCTTTCTTCTTCCTGTGCAAGATTATTTTGTATTACACAAATCTTATTCGAGACGTTAAATAGCTTTAAAAAGGTCGTGTCGGTAACTATCTGACACATTTGACGATAAATGAACAAGTATTAAAATGGTCTATATAGTCGCACTATATATTTTTTTATATTAACGGGTGCATTAGCGATAGTGAAATTATTTGTATTGAACGAACTCTTTCTCATAATAGACAATGAAGTTTATTTTATTCAATAATTATGACATGTAAACTGACTTCATAACGATAGGTTTTGAAGCAACAGAAATTTAACATGTTTCATTAGTGTCATTTGAATATATAATTCGAACTGTATTATGGGTTTTTGATATGATGTGCCGAAAATTTTTCTTACAGTCAGTTAAAACATTCATTGGAAAAGATGGAATGTAGATCGATTTTTAATACAATGTCTGAACACTCTGCCATGGACATTTTTTTATTTTAAGTGCCAAACTTTGATCTGAGATTTGCTTGGGCGTGGATTTGTCTGCACGGGTGTACGTGAAAGACTAGGACCATTGATATCCACACTCAAAGTATTTCATCACATTATGTATTATTTATTTGAGTTAAAGATTAAATAAGCTACAGTTCATTCATGTAATATGAAACTACTGTTAAATAATAGAGAGAAAACGTTTATTAACATTAAAAATTGAGTAAATTCATGTTATAATTTTGATTCTATTAGAAGACTTTTTGGCGAAACTATTTGCAAAGTTTCGTTGAAATCAAAATGTTCATGACACAGCAGATAAAATTTACTCAACGTTTAATAAACTAACCGTTATTTTTAGTATAGGTTTCTGAGAACTTTCCATGGATTTGATATGTTTTGAATTTGCTCTAGTGATAAATACTTCTCGTATATTTCAATCGTTGAACTCATTTTAATTATAACTTGACTAATATAAATAGTTACTAGGCACATGATTTCCAGTAGATAATTCTATTTAGTTAAGTTTACACATCTAGCGAATTATTTATAGTTTGTGCACCTATATTTTTGTCATAATTATTATACGTCATACGTTTGTTCAGCAATACATGAAATTATCGATTTTCAAATAAGAATGATAATAACAAATATATGATAGAAGATGTGTTTTGATTTTTTTTTTAGTAACTAGATAGAATGACTCACAGTGACCATGGTGGGTTGTGTTGTGAGTTGTGAAACTTTCAATGACGCAGATAACAGAACAGAAAAAACAAACTAATGGGCTTTTTTCTTTTCTTCATCACATGCTCGTGGCGACAGCCGACGTGTTATTGTCAACGATCATACGTGTTTTTGAAGGTTTATTTTCAAAAGAAAGGAAAACAGTGAGGAAGTGGATTGTGTGTTGCAAAAACACGATTGAGCAGGTTTCTTTATATGTATGTTTTCTTGCAAATTTTTCTCCACGTGCAAATCGTACGACGACATTAATTCTTCTTCGCTTGCCGTATGTATGCAAATTCTACACGAGAGTAGCATACAAAAACATTTGTATCCAACGCAGTTAAACTCCAAGAGCCATTTCATATTAGACTTGCTATTTTTAAAACTAGTTTGAAAATAGATCTATGTGAATTCATTTTGTTATTTTTCACTTGTCTTTTAAATATATGTAGTAAGACGCATTTGTTTCTTTTTTAGAGAACTAATATTACTTGAATACTCGAATCTAATCGTTGTACAACAATTTTTTTATGATGCATGGTAGGCCTCGATTATATTTAACCGATTATGACAGTAGTTATTATCCAACGTCTACTTTCGAAGCAAATCGACCACTACTACTCAAGTTAATTTATAGCGATCAATTTGGAACAATCAAAATCGATAATTTTGTTCGGTTTTCCTCAAACACTACTATTGATGAGATTAAAAAAGAATTAGCATATCTCATCCCAGACAGGTACATTAATCCTGAAGAACTTAGACTATCTGAAATTGGCATTGCCGGCTATCGCCAGATAGTACCTTCTATGTATGGATACCGAACATTGGACGACCTAGAAATCACAGACGGATCTGTACTCTATTTTGAGCGATTGACCGCTTCATCGAGCACGAAGTTATCAGAATTAACAGTTTACTCAATAAGCCATGCAAAAAGAGAAAAATTTAAATGGGACGAGTCATCAACGACAATTGACATTCTTCTTGATTTTGTCATAAACGCATTTGGATTGAATTCAATCGAACGTGGAAGGATTCAGCTTCGCACGTATTTAGACGAAATTCTCAATAAACCAAGTAATTCAGGAAAGAAATTGACAGAATTAGGTCTTCGAAATTATTCGATTATCTATTTCCATATTACCAAACCAACATCCACTTCTACGTATGATGAAGACATATATATTTATGTCAAAAGTAACTTTGATGAAGAGGATTTATTATTGGCGTCGCCGACAGACACCATCGCATACTTAGAAACTCGAATTAAAAGCAAATATAAATGTATTTCGTCTATCATTTTTCTTGATAACAAACATAATACAATAGACGCGAGTGATCGCAATCGAACATTAAGAGAATTGGGTATACTGTCGAATCAGACCATATATGCTTTTATTGAAGAGCAACTTCCAATGAAAGAAACTGATGAATCACAATCATCATCGTCATTGACTATGAATCCAAGCACAGTCTTGGTTCGTTGCCAATTTGCAGACAATAAATCTGAAACTATTCAAGTATCAGTAACAGATACGGTAGCGGAGCTGACGGCAAAAATTGCAGCTCTTCGAGAAAGTCAGACAGTGGCCCAGTTTTTACTATGGTCAGGTAGCATTACTATTGACGATCAGCAACCTGATAAACGTTTGGCTGATTTTGGCATTAAACCTGGTAGTACAATTAATGCTCAGGTCACAGACCTTGCTTCCACAAATACCTCGATTAAAACCAGAGAAATCGGTAAGACTTATACAACAACATATAGTTTAGACTTAGATACAAAGTCTAAAGGTTTGGATAATCTTGGTAATACATGTTTTATGAACAGTGCACTTCAATGTCTTGTACATGTCGTACCATTAACTGAGTTTTTTATGAAAAGCTTCACTCAAACGCATTCAACTGATGATTATGTTAATAAATCCAATCTATTTGATGCATATGGAGAAGTTACTGGAGCCTATACCGAACTGTTGTGGAATTTACTAAAGTCTGATCGAAAATCTTATTCATATTATGATTATTCATTTAGACCGACTCGTATGAAAGAAACAATCGGTCGACTTGAACCACGTTTTGCTACATTCGATCAGCAAGATGCTCAAGAATTTATGGCATTCCTTCTTGATACTATTCACCAGGAAATCAAAAAGAAAAATAACCACGTTCGAAATACAATTATCAAAGAACTCTTTTTCAGTGAAATTCAATCTTCTATTACTTGTTCTCGATGTCAACATGTAAGCACTACAGTAAATCCGATTAGTATTCTTCCATTACCACTTAATCCACAACAACAAACATTTCAAGTGAATTTTGTCAAATTGAAAGGTCAACATGAATGTGATACATTGCCTATGTCTACTAGTAATCGCATTGAACATCTTGTACAAGCATTCTTCGAGCGTCGTTATGATTCAATAAGTTTTAATTATGTTACTGCGATGACTACAAATCCAGAAGCAGTAGTTGAATTTGACACACCCCTTAGCAAACTATCTGAACCAGTAGTAACACTTATCGAGCAAGATTGTCACAATGGTCGAATGGCACCTTTTCGATATGAGAATAAACCGACTACTTTGAAACTTGACGAATGTCTTCAAGGATTTGTTTCAGTTGAAGTGCTCGATGATCCATGGTTTTGTGAGCAAGATAAATGTAAACGAGATACAAAGGCACGTAAACAACTTCGACTTTTGACTTTTCCTCGTGTACTCATTATACAACTTAAACGATTTTCACATGAAAATGGTCTACGACGAAAATTAGATACATTTGTTGATTATCCTGTTGATGGGTTTGATTTGGGTAAACTTCTGAAATCATCCGAGGAAGCCGTTTACGATCTCATTGCTGTTTGTAATCATATTGGATCTATTTATGGTGGTCACTATACTGCATATGCACGAAAGGATCCAAAAATCGAGAAATGGTACAGATTCGATGATTCCTATGTATCAACCATTTATTATAAAGAAGAAATCGTTTCCAGAGATGCTTATCTTCTTTTTTATCTAAAACGACAGAAACAAACACAGTCATTAAAGTCAACAATGGTTTGATATTTGATATATTTATTCTTCTTACATAAAACAAAACGATACTTTCTCGTATTCTTGTAAAGTTTTCATACTTATACGGACTTTGTATCAGATCACCCTTTGAATCAAATACCATATAATTCATGTAAATTTTTCTTATTTCCCGATCATTTCCAAGAATGAACAGAATATAAACTACTGTTAATAGTGTTCATTGATAACATTTTTTAATTATCATATTCATGAATTATGTTTTCATTTTTGTTCAGATAAAAAAAAAACGCAGTACTAAAATGTAACATTTCGAATCGACTTCATTGCTGTTTTTGTTAGAAGGAGCAAAGTTTAGAAAGCTTCCGAATATATCAAGAAATCAATAAAACTGTAATGAATATTCATCTGCTCAATGAGAGAAAAGGACAAAGAATTTTTGCCTGATTTATTAATAATATCAAATTCTCATAAGTGATCCTTGGAGACGAAAATTTCATTATTTTTAAACTGCTGTCTTATAATAGATGTCAAGTTTTATAAAGAGCAATAATATTGATGAGTAAATTCCATTTCCGTACAGTTTTTTACGTCAAGATAATGCTCTTTTATGCCACAAATTGATTCAGCAAACAAACAAAAAACAATCGATTGTTAAATTAATGTCGAATTTCAAATAAAATATGTAAAAGAACTTACGATTTCTCTTCTAGTTGAATACTAATGCAAATTATAATCAAGAGAATAAGAAGTAAAACCAAGAAAGACACTTACCTATCTCAGTATAATTCTGCTAAAATTATCGAATAATAGTGTGCCACTGTAATCCAGATCTTAGCTCATTTTTCTTTCAATATCTACTCGAAAAAAATAACTTCTTATGTGCCTCTAGATAGCAAATGTTGATACTCTACAAAGTTACCGAATTGTTTTTATGATCAATGGAGAATCTAATTAAAAAAAAATGAAGATTTCCAATATGTCGCTAAGTTCTTCATGTAATTTTGCCCCTTCTGATGTACGTTTCAGAGTTTTTAAAAGAAAACCATCGAGGAAAAAAAAATTTCGAAAACATCGGCAAACGTCTTTTTTCTAACTAGCTCATTTCATTGTTGTTTTATTTATTCGAAACAGCTTCAAAAATTTTATTGTTCAGCTTTCGAGTTACACAATTTTGTTCAGAATTAATTTCTAAATCCGACAGCAAAATAATGAATCTTCTATAGTTTAGTTTTAAATATGAGAATGTGGAGTCTGTGTATGTCTCTAAGTATGAATTTTCTTTTCATTAAAACTCATATTCATACTCCACTCTCGATCCTATATTCGTGTTTGTTTGATTTGAACTTTTACTTGTTTTCTATAGTTATCTGGATATTCTCCATATAAATAAGCTTTTCCAAGGCATACAACGTCATCGAGTGTATAGAACAATATAGTGGTGTTCGGTCATCAGTTATATATATCGAATACGACTTAAACATAACCTGTTTTGCTATTCATACAGTATCTGCATAACCAAAATATAGAGTAGAATCATGTATTGTGAAGCTAATAGGATTCATCTAAATTTCTAGTTTCTTAACAATTAGTTTTGTACATATAGATGTGTTAGAGTTGAAAAAAAAATGATCGGATTCATAAATAGATGCGAGTATATAATAAGATAAATGAGTGATAATGTTAGTTGATTATTCTATAGTTGTTTGCTTCATGTTAGTTTGTCTATTTAAAAATGACCAAAAAATCTTTCTCTTCGTAACGAAATAAAATATAAAATCAGTTAATCCCAACTGTTCTGCTGCAATGTACTTTTTACAATTGTTGCAATAATTTAGATGGTCCGACCTGCAAGAAATTTGCCTGTGATACTGGACATTTGTAATCCTTCTTCATAAGATTATCCGATAGGTGATGGATACCGTTGCGCGGTGGTACAAATTGCATAATACAACGTCGAATAGCTGCTAGTATGTACACGATGTACAATAAGAATCGTGATGGTTCTGGTAAGCCAAGTTTTCGATGAAATGTTGCGCCACCAACAACATAAATAATGGCGTTTAAGAGAATTCGAATCAACAAAGCTGGCAAATATCGACCATACCATTTTTGGACCAATGTGTGAATAGCATTTGTCAATACTTGTCCTTGTTTTGTATATCTTGAACATGTGTCACTATCGATATAACTATTAACGATTATATTTGCTTCTTTTAGTGATGTTGGTCGATCTTTCAAATTCATTCTTTGACCAACTTGTTCATAGAAATCAAAGATTGCTCGTTTTTCTCTATCATCCAAATGCCGCCAACCAAAGACTTCAATTATTTGTATTGTATCAACAGTGAAACAACAAAGGATAAAAACGAAATCTTTATTCAGTGTGTGATTTCTGAATGCACCATGAATATTATTCAAATGTTGTATACTTGTTCGTCCTTCATTACTATCAAGACCATAGTCGATCCAAGCATGCATAATGATGTCAGTATCATTGACACGTTTCTCTGTTTCGCTGGCAATTGTATTTGTTTGCGAGTAAACATTTGAAATGGTGGGTGATACAAATGTTCTATAGAATGCCAGATTAATACCATAGAAGCATTCGAAAGGAAATTCGACGCAACATAGATGACGATAGATTTGTTCAGCATTGAGATAAGACAAACTTTGTTTGTACTTATTGAACCATCGTCTACGAACGTCATATAAATACGCCAATACGATTATTATCAATACCAACAATATTATTGTTACTAACATTTTGACGGCACGTATAAAAACTTAATATGATGTTTAGAGTTAAGATCTTCGAAAAACCTTGTGAAATATATAAAATATTAGTTATAGTCAATTATGAAGGCAAAACGTGATTATTACTACGCTGTTCCATTTCACTGATTCTTGCTATTCTTTGGACTGTTTATTTATAGATGGCTGGATGTTACGTTAGCATCAGTAAAGAAAAAAAAGCATATGGCATTGTGTTGATTAAATTCCAAGTAAGGAAAATGCTAACAAAACGTCAATGATTGACAAATATGACTATGCATGAATCGTTTTGAAGCTACTCGGCGACAAATCAAAACTCAAAGATCTATTGGCCAAAGTAAAAACGTTCGATATTTCATCACACATGATCCATACGTTACCTGAACATGGTCCACGTTTGCATAGTGACTAGAACATACTAGGTGATGTTACTAAATGTAATATTTAACCATAACACATTCGATAACATGAACAATACCAGCAGCTGATTCTCAAGAAAAGATACAACTCTCGTGTAGAGAAAATAGATGTGTAAGAAAAATTTGTACAGTTATAGTTCATATTTATGTAGATTTCGATATCTCTTCGTTCACGACATCTCTAAGACAGTAGCTATTTAGTCTGCAGCACTGTTTTATAAATATTCAAACATATTGAAATTTTATTTGAATACTTAATTATTGTGATTGTTTTTTTTCTTTCAAGCAATGATGAGAAAGATTGAGCGTACGTAAATGAGTAAGAAAAGATAATGTCAAGAAGTTGTTCTTTTACATGAATTGAGAATTGCTAAAATTAACTATTAAATTTTTAAATTGTGTCGACAGAAAGTTAATTTAGCGATGCTTCGAAAATGATGTCTTACTTAGAATTGAATAATTTGCAGTTAGAACATGAAAAAAACAGAAAAATAAATGTTGTATTCAACATATTTGATGGTATTTTGTCGATTGATTTTAGAGTGATTAATTACTTTCTAGTAGAAAATGTATACATCTGTTAATCAATGTACAAATAATAATAAATTAATGAGAGACATTCGAGTATAAAATAGAAAAATTTATCAGGAAGAAATTAGATTGTAACACATACCATCAGAAAAATGATAGAAAATATGGTATAATGGATTAAAAATCTATAGATAAAAAAAAACAATAAATAGAAATCATCTCGTAAAAGAATTACCTATTCAAATTATTTTAAATCTTTATATGTTTTCTTTTTGCTCGATTTAGGTATTAAATCTTTAAAAATAGTCACGATAATTCTTCAATAACATAAAATTTGAAGGTTGCTTATTATGTTTTGTTTTCATATCAACATAATTGCTTTAAAATGAAGAATGATTTATTTGACAAGAAATATCTGTAAATCATTCAAAAATGATTATTAAGTCAAACTAGGAAAATATTGATTGCTACTTTTTGCTATAACGAATTTGAAAAGTCTAAAACGGAGAAAAAAACTGAAGTTATCCATAGTATTTATTTTTCGGAGAGTTTCAACTGTGTTTCCTTTAGAAACGTTCGAAAATAGTCATTTTTCCGTACAATTATTTATTATTATGTAGCTTTATAAGAAACAAATCCATAATGAAAAACTCTTTATCGTTTAAATGTAGTATGAATGAGATAATAATTGAAGTAAACTGTATTTCTTAAAAGAATGGAGTTGGTATGGCTGTAAGTCTTGTCTTTACCTACATTCACACCTACATTCATCCCCACCCCAAGACAATATTCTTTTCTTGGTTGGATAGAGTGATGAAGATTTGTAATCGAACCGAATTTGTGACGATAGCATTTTATCTTCATCAATTTTTTAGAAGTTTCATCAGTAACAGTGAAAGCAACTTGTTTAGAGATTGGAGTCTTCAAGAACATCATACTTACACTTCGATGATATGATGAACAACAATTATTAAAACAATCGTATCGTTTTCTTTAAATATTTCAGTAGATCTGTCATTCTTCTTTCATACTGAATCTCAAGTCTGTTTCATCTTTTTAACAATATTTTCAATGTTACCACTCAAATTAATGGTCTTCATTTTAGAGAAATATTCATCATCTCTTATAGGTTAATTGTGAAATTTTAATGTCGATAGGTCATGTTTATGTGTTCGTCGTTGTTCAAAAACTATTCGTTGTCACACATCTGTAATTTCTCTTGCATTTTGGAAATACATTGTCGAAAAGTCTTCAACTGTAGACGATTTTCTGAAAATGAATATTGTCCGATTTTCAGAGCGTGTTCAAAGAACGACAATGCACTTGAATAATCTTCCATGTTTTCATATGTGTCACCAATGTTTTTATAATTAATAGCAAGATCACGATGATTAGAAGGAAGAGATATCTGTCGAATTTCAAGTGCTTTCTGATAGAATGAAAGAGCATTCGAATAATTTCCCATTTTATTGTATACGACGCCAATGTTACTGTAACACGTAGCTAGATCAGGATGATTCGAAGAGAAATTTTTTTGATGAACTTCAATTGCTTTTTGATAGAACGAAATTGCACTCGTATAGTCTCCGAGATTTTTATGTGATCCACCGATGTTGTTGTAGGTAGTAGCTAACGATGGATGGTGTATAGAGAGAGATTCTTCTTGTATTTCAAGTGCTTTTTGAAAGAATAAAAGTGCCGTTGAATCATCATTATCACTGTGGCATATAATGCCGATATTATTGTAGATAGTAGCGAGTGATGGATGATTAGCTGGAAGAGATTTTTCTCGAATTTCAAGTGCTTTTTCGAAAGATAAGAGTGCATTCGAATAGTCACCCATATTATAATGTAATCCACCGATATTAATATACGTCGACGCTAATAATGGATGATTTGGAAGCAGAGTTCTCTGTTGGATTTCCAGTGATTTCTGATAAAATGATAGTGCATTCGAGTCGTCTCCCATCTGACCATATACAAGTCCCATATTGTTGAATGTAGTGGCTAACGATGGATGATTGTTAGGAAGAAGTTGCTGTTCGATTTCAAGCGTTCGTTCATAGAATGAAAGTGCACTTGAATAATCTCCCATATTAAAATGCACTGCACCAATGTTACTGTAAGTAGTAGCTAAATCACCTTGATTAATAGGAACAGATTTTTGATCAATTTCAAGACTTTTTTGATAAAATGATAGAGCATTCGGATAATCACCCATATTTTTGTACACAATACCAATGTTTGTGTAGACAGTGGGAAGATCATGAGGATTCGAAGATGGATCATTTTGTTTGATATCAAGTACTTTTTGATAGAATGTGAGAGCTTGATCATATTCTCCTTTTTCATTTTGAATTTTTCCAATCTGTTGATAAATATGAGCAAGTTCTGCGTCATCCCTTCCGGTCGGCTCATCAAGTAATATCTGATAGATTTCTTCTGCTATATCAAATTCTCCCATTCGAATCATCAATTGACCTAATCGATCATATTCTGTATTTCCCGATATTTCTTTTCGCATGAGTTCTGTTAGAGTTTGAAGTTGTTCATCATTATTATTTGTTGATGTAAGTTGTACTTGCCAGACTTTTTCATCAATTTTTCGCATTTCACCAATTCGAAATGTACTATGCATCGAAAAAAGAATTTCCTTTTCCGACGAAAAGTAACTTATATTGTTCAATGAAGCAAACGGAGTCGATGGATTTGCAACATCAATATCTATTTCAAAAAGAATACCGATCATTGACGAATTTTCACTTGAGCTTTGAGCATAGACAAGAGATACTTCTCGGTCGGTACTGGTAGATAAAAAATTGTTGAAAGATAAGATTCCACCGATTCTCTTTTGCAATTTTTCGAATTCAGTATTGTACATGCCTTGGCCCCGGTAGACAGTCCGTAAATCTTCAATTTTTGATGTTTCAGCATGTATTCGTTGAATTTGTCGATGAATATCACATAAGAAAAAGCCCATCTTGATCATATGATCGATATCTATAGTTCGCAGTGCTCGATTGAGCATTGAATAGGTAAAAGATTCTCGAGTGTACCACCAGATGGCCAAATCAGGATTATAATCTCGTTCAAATTCATCAATAATTTTCAATTGAAATCGATTGTTCTGATAACCATCACGCCATAGTTGTGTTAATGCTTTTCTAGCATAATCTTCATATTCAGCATCAAGAAGAATTTCTTTGAGCAATTGTGAATACATGAATGATGGTTCAATTGCATTTAAATTATTCATCGGATAATCAATTGGAGAAAGAATACTCATCGGTGATAAAGCACGATCAAATTGTGTTGTATGTTGTTTTAGTAAATTACAAATGGATTCGATTTCGGTGAAAGATCCTTTAACTTTAACAAATTCATCCGTCCATGTTTCGTGTTCCATTTTGTCCAAACAGAAAACATAAATACAGTAGAGTTGAGGTAGCGTGTGGACAAGAGGAACAGTTTCTTTGACGAAGGTATCAGATATAATCATAAAGACTTGTTCATCTTCTATTTCGCTAAGAAAATCTACACACTGCTCAACATTAGACAATATATGGATCGAATTGACAATTTGTTCTAATTGATCAATGAAATGTTGAGAATCTTCATTGAACTCATTGATACTGGACTTCAACCAAATGAGTACAAAGTTCTGCATGCGACGAACACTAGAATGCCTGGTAATTCGACGTTTATCCATCTATATCTTTGCCAATCGTACAGATGTTGAGTTTGACGAATACTGAATTCCGTTTTCTTCTTACTTTACGTGTCTGCCTCTACCGTAATGGTCGATGTTGTTGTTGTTCTCACTTGTCGACACCAGTTTATGATGAATAACATAATAATAGAATAAAATGTTATCTTTGAAGTCGTAGCAACTCAGGTGAATAGCAAAGAGTCATAATCAGCTTTGCACGTCAAATAGTGTTGTCAGAAATAAATCTTATGAATCACTGTGAGTGACTTTTGTTATTCTGTTTTCACTGCACGCAGCCAGTGCGAGAAAAAAAAGTGTTAAACAGTTGACTAAGCAGCTCATTCAACAGAAATCTAGCGGATGTCGTGAGTTCAACTATTCTCTTTGAATTTTTGTTCTTCGTAGGGTGTGGGTGAGGAGAAGTATCATAAATACAGCCACATCTACCCACACTCACTTCCTTGCCCAAGTTTTCGAAAAAGTTTTTGTTAGAAAATATTTTGTGTCATACATGCCTCGACACAGTTCTGCTCGTTGATGTTGAGTATCCCATTCATTTTGCGGCATAATATTCTCGTAATTGGAAAAATAGGTATTTCGGAGCGAAAACCTGGACTTTGGGGAAAACCTAGTATCGTTTGTGCTGAACAGTGTGGAGTGACACTAATGTAAATGATGAAGCAGATATGAAAGAATAGGTAGTGAAGTTTGAGATCAATTGGACGATAATTGTTTGTGGGGTTTAAAAAATACAAAAAGACTGCTGTCCAGAACTTTGCCAGACATAGGAAAAGGTTTTTTTTTAAAAACACTGACTGTTATATATGATTCGATGCAACTGGACCAGCTGATTCGAAACATCATCTTAGTTTTGCATAAAATTGTCTTTGTATTTGCAAAACTAATGATTCTAAGGCAGAAGCTTGATTCTTTAAGACATTACTAGCTCTGTTTTAGTTCACTGGTACGGCACGAAACTATGCCCAACGATCAGTCACATGTAAGAGGATAAGTCGTGACGATTTGAGCTCAATAGGAGTAGAACTCTTTGGGAAGCTTGCAAAATACGGTAGAATCTGTTTGTTGACCTACTTTGTATCCAGTAATCGTTTTTTTTCTACTCCATTTCTGATTCGACAGAAATAACGTTTCCACACTATGCAACTTATGGACTAATCATTCATTTCAGATAGTTTTTCATTTTAAAATATTTTGGTAAGTTGATAGCAGAAATCAGCTTCGTATGATTAGTGACTTATGAACAGGGTGGATGTGAGTGCTCTCCTTTTAACATCCACTCCCACACCCTACTATAATTATAACTTAGAAAAACGATCGAGAGTATAAGAAGCATAAAAAGTGAAAGTTATTTTATATTCTCGAACAATCGATAGTTGTTTGTCGCTCAGATGAGTTCATTATCGTTCTGTGAGTAATGTATGTTTCTTCCTTGTTCTTGCTGAACATTTGTATCTACCTGTTCTTTGGGGGGTGGGTGTGACTGATGGTTCCAGTCCAACACGCCCAGATTCACTCAATTTCAGACCCAAACGAGTCTACAACTAAAGTTACACCTTCGAAACTATCCCAACTGCAATCAAAGCAAAAACCATATGAAACTTGTTACTTTATCGAAAGTAAAAGCTAACAATATAAAATCAGTACATATTTCCAAATTATTATTCGACTGAATAAATATTTTTCTTTCAAGAAAAAAAAAGTTCATGTGCAATTCTCTTTTATTCACAAGTCTCATATTTGAAACAACATGGTTTTATCTTTGCTCATTGAACTAATATTTGTTGTGATCGTAATCCATTCACAAGACCAGTTTTTATATTACGCATCAATGTTTCTTCGGTAATTTCAATGAATCCTGCATTATTTTGTTCTAAATTAAGTCTTTGTAAATCTTTAATTACTCTTTGACTTCCATAGTAAGTATGACGAACAACATCTTCTTTAAATCCATGACCTAAAGTTACACATTCAACATCGTTGACTAATACACTATGACCTTCATTCAATACGAAATTGTATACAGCATCACAGGAAATTTCATTAGGTGACGAAACAAGTGAACAAGGCATAATCCATTGTCCACAAAGCCGAATAGGATGCCAAGCAGTGATGATCAAATCATTTTCAAGCTAGAATAAAAAAAAAAGTTTAATAAATTGATGATTTCAAAAAAAACTATAATCACAAATAAACGAGTCATTTAAAAAAAACAAGCACCTTGAATAATTATAGTTTACTCCGTTGAAACTATTTGACAAACGGAAAAGAACAATCATACTCACGATAACCATTTTTGCTTTGTTATTTTGACATTTTGTTTTAACAACAAAGATTACCATTCCACCATGTGGTGCCATTCGATCACCTGGTTTGACATCTTTTACCAATTTAGTGGTTCCATTCATTAGACGTACTGTACATTCTCCATAGAGGCATCCTCCAGCAGCATTGTGAAAGACCCTCATATTTATCGGAGCACTTGTTTGTGAATGTTTTGGAGCTGGTAAACTGCAAAATATGTCATCCATTTCATCACGTATTTTTGAGAAAAGTGTACCCTTTCCATAATGCTGAACACCTGGATCTTTGAAATTATTACAAAACTGAAGAAGATGAGCACCTATAAGATAAAACTCATCAGAAATATACTTTGTTTTTTCGAATTCTCAACGAACTCAATCTCCTATTTAGAAAATAAAAATTTGAAGAAAAAGCACATTTGATTATTAAATGAGACATATTTTTTTCATATCTTTTAGAAAACTAATCAGCTCAAATAATCAATCTAAAATTGACATATTATTTCATATTTGTTCGATCAAACTTACGTGTTAAACTAGGTAAAAAATGTATGCCCCATTTATGGAACCAGTCTTCTTTTTCGATAGCTTGGCGTACTTGTCCTGTTAAATCTATAAATAAGTCTTTTATAAATTCATCATTTTCATTTGCATATTTTCCCATATTCTTCTCCAATGCTTGGATCTGATCCATTGCTGCTTTTTGTTGCTTTTTCGTATTTCTTGATTTTATTTTTGCTTCATACATTGTCTCTAAAGCTGTTCGTACACAATGAACAAATTCTAGTCGAAATTTATGTCGAGTTATGAGATCAACATCAGCTTGTTGAACATTATTTGTCAAATTGAAGGTGACAGATTTCTTCATGTTTTTTAGGTTATCATAAGTCAGCGTAAATTTACATTTACTGATAGATTTAGGAGCAAGTGGAATCAGTAAATCTTTGCTTTGACCAAATGTAATCGAGCCCAAATCAAAATAGGTACCTTCATTCGTGCTTTTTGTTGAATACCAACGTGTATAATCAGTTGGTAAAAGATACTCTTCATGAAACAACAACTATAATGAAAGATTAATATATAATACTTGACATTTCTTGTAAGAGAATATATGAGCTGGAAAATAGTATGATAGATTCAATCATAATATTAGTCCTTGTCATTTTACACATATGTCTCTAGTTTTTGAAATCAATAATAATGTGAACATTTCAAAATCAGTTTACCTATTTCATAAAATTGTCTAGTCTAAAAAGACTTTTCTGTGTGCTTATATATGTAGTGTCAATGATAAGTTTGTTATCGATCTCTATCATGATTCAAATTCAAGTCCATCTTTAGTATGTCAAATAAATACTTGTATTTTCCGAGATAACTAGCGTTATTTTTGAATACAATTATTACCTGTAAATTGGTTGCAACTGTAGTTAATAGTGTTGAAATAGCATTGATAAAGATTGTTCCTACAAATGATCCATCAGGAATAAATGCATATGAGCCAGAATTTCCCAATATAGAAATATCTTCGAGAAGTTTGCTATTCAACTTATATCCAAAACCAAAAGTATTGACAATACATGTAAAATTAGTTTTTTGCTTAAGTTTTTCTAGTGATTTCAAATGACCACCTGGCGGCTCTACATTAGGACAACCATCGGTTAGAAGAAACAAAGCTGATATGCTCCCAATAGAACGTTGTTCTTTCGATAAAATATTAAGACCAGTTTGAAGACCATCCCATAAATTTGTTGAACCATCGCTCTGTATAAAAGTTTTAAACAAATAAAAGAATACTTCATCATAGATTATCGTCAATATTAATATAATCTATTGTCTGTATACTGTAGGAATTGTAAGTCAAAGGAAGTTAGATAAAATAAACTTGATTAATCTCAGAGTTTTATGCATTTTCAAAGAATTATGAACTCCTCTATGATGAATATGCGATAGCTCAATAAACATCTATGAAAAACCTGTCAAGTTTTCTAATCAATATTCGTATTCTTTATTCAGTTTAATATCTATTCCACTTAAGACATTATACTAATTATTATCGTTGTATATAATATAACATACAAACATATTTCCTATATATATATTTTAATGGTCTACTAACCGATAATTTTTCGATGGCAGTCAAAGCCTTTGTTTTTCCTTCATCATTCATATTTGTTAATTTAAACAAGATAGTAGCTTTATCAGAAAATGACACAATCGATAATCGATCTTGACTTTGAAGAGACTGTATGATTGTCTTTATAGCATGTTTAACCAAATCTAATTGTGATAAACCATAGTGTTCATTTTTATCATTTTGAATTTCTGCCCTATCTGACATTGAACCTGAAGTGTCAACTACACAGCAAATATCACATAAAGAACGATTTTCATCTTGCGGAGGTTGAATTGAGATGTGAACAAAGCCATCAGCATGGTTTCCAGTTACTGTAATGTCAGACGAACATGTTCCCGCTAGAAGAGGAGTTGAATCTATTTCGGGTTGAATTGAGTGTCGGTATTCATCAATAGTTTTTTTGAGAGCTAGGTTTGGATGAAAGACATCGATAGAAACAGGAGGACGAGTTATTGGTGATGTACCATTTTGACGAATCCGAACTTCAATTGCATCTTTTTCGTAACTGTTATCATCAAAATCAATCATTGGATCTGTCATGAGTTCATGAGTGATTGGACAAAAGAAAGATGCCAGTGAAGAAGCCATTTTTGTAAGACACGATCTAATAGTGGTGACAGCTTTTCAAGTTGAATTTGTCTACAATTTAAGAGTAGAGTCGATTTCTCTTCACTATGTCATAAATAGGTTTGCATTTTTATAGAAGCGTAGAAAGTATTACCAACTAAAGCATGGTATGAAAGAAGCTCGGATAAAACACAATGCGTCATTTATGATGCACAAAAAAAAAACAGTGAAATGAGACACCCCTGATGGGCAAGAATCAATATGTAATCATATTTGCATAATACAGAGAAAGAAGCAAAAACGAATGTGTCATAACTATTTACCTTTGCTTTCACGAAAGGTGGGACCTTAGATAAACAATAGAAAAAGCCAAAATATGCTATTCGAAAAGTTGTAAGAAAGAAGTGACTCAATATTTATTTTACTTCACAATGAAACTCATGCATGTGTAAGACAGAATAAGAAAATGTACTTCTTAGCAAATGAACAGACGAATTTTCGTCGAACAACAATCTATTTCAAAAGTAATACAACTTTGTGATGGTCAATTTGCTCGTGATCAGTATGTGGCTGGTAGTTTAATGGATGGTTCTTGTAGATGTGGATGCAGAGAAGAGCCAGCAACATCGACATACATACCTATTTGACATTCCATACTCACACCCATACCCACATCCATATCGACACTCACACCTACATCCATATCGACACTCACACCTACATCCATATCGACACTCACACCTACATCCACACCAACACACAGTTACCCACTGACACCCAAGATTTCTGGAAAATATGCCTCCACCATCATTAGATATTTTTGACAAACTCGACTTATATGCAAAAGATCTTCAACAAGACCATTTATATTTGAGTTCTCTTCTAGAACAAAGTGTGGGTCGGGTGTGAGTGTGACTGGGTGTGGGTGTGGCTGAGTGTGGGTGTGGATGTGGATGTGAGTGTAAATGCAGAAAAGATCCAGTAACACCAATATACACATCTATCGACACGTCATACTCACACCCATACCCACATCTACATTCACACCTACGCACAACCATCAACATCCACTCCTTTACTCTCTTCTTCAGTTTTTCGCGACAACCTCTAATAAATATCACTAAAATGGGAAGCCATTTGTTTCAAGCACTTTCAGTAAATTTTTTTTTTCTTTAGCAGAGAAAAGCAACATCTGCCGTAGGCAACTCTTCTTGAAAAATCAAATATTCGTAGTAGATGATCTCTGTTGAAAAAATTGAATATTCATGGCAGATAAGTATTCGTGGTAGGTAACTTCTTGTAACAAATTCTTTTTTTTTCGCTATGTGAATCTTATATTTAGGCAAAAGAATCTTCGTAGAGTATATTATTCTAAGATCATCTCTGAGAAACCAATTTGTTCGCTTGAAAAAGAAACAATTCGAAAGGCATTGTGTTAGAACTCATTCAGATAAGTAGTGTATTATTCATTGATTTTTTTTCTTCTCCTTCTTCTTCTCCTCCTTTCGGTCGTCATTTTTGGTTCTTATTATTGTCTACAATTTTTGTTGTTGTTGCTGCTGTTCTTGTGTTCTCTTTTCTTTGTTTCAATTTTTTTCTGTCGATAATAATAATAATAAATATAATAATAAAACTTTAAAAAAGATTGATCTATGTTACTGATCTCACTCTAACTACAACGATTCTTATGTTGACTCAAAAAACCAACATGTAAGCCTAAGAATGAAGGACAAATCAAATTCTTAATAATACAAATACAAGAGTAGACCAACGATGGCATTGGATTATATTCAGAACAGATCCAAGGAAATTTTTTGAACTTTGCAAAAAAAAACGTATGGGTCTTATTCTCTATTGAACATCATTGCAACACATGAAGTGTATTCTAATTTTCATTGCTAATTAACAGAGAATATTTTCTATCTTTGTTAGTCACAATAATCGATTCTCACATTCGAGTTATCAAATTGAACTGCTATTTTCGCCATAAGGAAAGAATCAGTGAGGCGAAGAGAAAAAATTGGAATTGTACCTTTTTCTTCAGAAATCCTTCTTCTTCAGCAAGATCATTTTTACTTAGAAGCTAAACATTGTTAATTTGATTTTCCATTTCCAGTTTACCTACAATTAAAAATTATAGATGGAAAAAAAACTATGTTTATCAGTTGTTAAGTACATTGTTCAAAGAAGTCTCAGATTTAAAAAGTCTCTTTCACGTTACTAGACACTTTTATCGTTTTTCTACCTGGCTTAAAAAACTGTCTTAGTCCCTTTATTCTTATTACGAATAAAGATCGTGCTCGAATTTCGAAATATTCTACAATCGTACCTCTGGAATTTGTATCGAAAATATCGGCAGGTAATCCATGAGAGATCAGAATATCACAATCTTCTGGAATTTGACCCCATAACATCTTTGGTTGTGTAGACTGCCGTGGATATTGGAATCCACCACAAAATTTTGGTGTACATGGACATCCATCGATTGTTATATCAAACACTTCGCATGAGTCATTTTCCAGATAGATCACATTCTCATTATTTCGAAATAGTGTCCGACGTTTTTCTTCTTCATTGCCAAGATAAGGATTATCCAAACGAATGCCATCCATGTTGCCAGAGATGAATATTTTGTATGTAAAATTGTTTAATAACAGTAGCCAATCAAATACACTACGTACTTCTTTATCTGTTCCACGATCACTGAGATCGTCGGTATGGATTAAGATATCACCGCGGATTGATTGGATATTGTTCAGGAACTCCGATTTCGTATGTCCATTGTGAGTGTCGGAGATACAAACAATTTTGATGAGACCATTTTTCTGAATGGTTGCTTTTTCATCAGAAGTTCGACCATCTTCCGGATTATGCGCTTCTGTACGAGTGTACAAGATTCTACTACCCAACCAGACAGACATGTCGGTGTTTGACGTTTTTTGAACAAAAGTAGCAACTTTTAGTCAAATTTTATTCGTTTTTTTCGTTTATTTCAAAAAACCCACAAAAAGTCGTGTTTTTGTCGATTTTTTCGACATTTTCTTTTTTTTTTCCACTTTTTTTACTCGTTTTTCTGCCAAATTTCGTCAAATTTATGCATAAAAGTGGTCGAAACGTTATTTATAACGAAAAACGCCCATTGTATCTCAAAAATTTCAATTTTTGAGTGTAAATGAGATACATTTTTTTTATCGAAATTTTTTCTGAGCAACTTTTTTCACGTGTACAGTACACACAATCAAATGCTTTCTTATATTTTTGATGAGATATTTTTGTATTCAGTTCTGTCTCTACATTATTTCTTAAGATGTTTGTCTTCTTCATGCTCGAATGAATAAATGGAAAACATTGAACTTGGCTTTGTATTATAAATGTTTATTTCGTGATAAAAAGAATATATGAGAATATTTTTTTATTTGTATATTTTCCGTTGTATTTCGAAAAAATAAAAAATATACAGTTATTTTCTAGTTCAAATTTAACAACTAATTTCAGTAACAAATGAGTATGTGAAACAGTGATGGGATTGGTTCGTATTTTTTTGGAACCGACCCGAACCGATTCGAAACTTAAGGAGATAAAGAAGGTTTAAAAGCTATTATTTTTTTTCTAAGAATATTCCCCTAAAAACCTTTATTGAAGACATGCTTAAAACGTCATTAATAATTCTAAAAATGAACGAGAAATTTGTAGTAGAAATAATGTTAAGAACATGGATATTTTCGTTTTCAGAATAAAAGAAACAATATCTTAGCCTTAATTCAGCATGTAGTTATATTTTACTTTCGTATAGGTATGATCTAGCTCTTTTTTTGACTCTCCACTCTTAGTTTCTAAAGAAGACAGTTACCCAGAAAGAAAACTATGTATACATATACACTATTCAAATGCATTTTTGATTAAGTAGTAATTTAAATCTGTTATTTCTATACATTCTATGTAGCTGCACGTCACTAACATTCAAGGTATAATCCAAGTTGTGATTATTCAACTAAGTAGGTAAGATAACACGAAATATTGAATGTACTACATCACTAAAAGTGCATATGAATAATATATATATATATATTTTTTTTTTCTTTCTAGGTAATTGTCTCCTTTAGAAATTAAGAGTGAATAACAAAAATAGAGCTAGATCTTACCTTTACGAAAGTAAAATATAACTGCGTGTTGAATTAAGTTTGAACAGTTGTAGCAAAAAAGAGTGTTATATCACTATAGCAAGAAGAGAAATACAGATAATTGTTATATATAAAATATAACAAATAAACGCATAAAATAGAATTTTCGAAAATAGTCAAAAAAAATTACATATAATTTGATGTTTCATTTGTGTTTTTCAATGCGTTTAAACGCTCAAAAGTTTTTCACTATTTTTGATAAAAAAAGTGACCGTTTTTTGCCATTAAAAATTTAGATGCCAAAAATCTGTACGAAGGGAACAAACTATATAATAAATTAGATACACTTTTTTTAAATACAAAATTAGTACAAAAAGTGACATGCTTATCTGCTCGGGTACTGAATAGAAGTGATCACACAAAGGAATCAATAAGTTATTTCTCGTCATGAAGCACATTGCTTTTAAACATAATGGTATAGAACGGAAACCATCTGCTCTTATTTGAAAATAGACCAAAAACATTCCACATAGGATATTCTCAACTAATATAAAAAGTATCTTGTCAAAGACCTATGGTAAATGTACAGTTCATTTTTTCTAGCTACAGCAGACGTCTTCAAATATAAAATTAGTCGAAAAGTTCTTGAAAAACCTAGAAACGAGATACTTTTGAAATCTTTGAGATAAGAATCCATTTGAAAACAAATTTTTGGTTCAGTTTTCAGTTGTCAATACAAATTCTGCGACTATCATTTATGTTTCAACGGTAGTTTTATCTCAAAAAAAAAAATTTCTCCTACAATGTATTATGTATGGAAAAAACGTCTTATGCAGATAATACCTCTTATCTTTGGACCGACCAAATAGACATCGAATATAATATTCTATGTCAATTTCGATTTCTCAGAAAAAAATCAATAAAAAAGCATCGTGCTTAACGGCGTTACTGAACTTAGCATTCCAATAAAGAAAGAAATAGTTTTTCCTCGACCATAACACAGCTTTCAGAATGAAAACATCCAAGTCATTTGTCTGTGAATATCAATTGAAAATTAAAAACAAACCATAACGTCTTCATAGATCTATATCATTTAGAGAAATGTGTGGAATACCTTTAACTAGTTTGATAATGCTCGATCCACAGACAATGAGATTTTCAAACTTGTGATTTGTACCATGTTTCTTATATTCATCGAAACAATACATTACTAAGATTTTTTTTTCTGCTTCACTCAACATCTTGTTTCCATCACTTTCTATACCAATTTGATTTCTTTGTTTCAACTAGATACTGCTAAACTTCAGTTGTCTATTTACATATGTGAATCCACCACAAGCAACACGATCTTGGTTGAATGTAATGCCTAGAACATTCTTCAGTAGATAATCATGTACACGTCCTTGTCCAGCCTGTTTTCGACAGTCTTCTGGTCAATCATTTGTACACTGTATAATCAAGTAGAAACTTCTTCGTAGCTCACAATGAGATCTCGGTTTTCTACTAATCACTCTCTAATCACGACTCTAACGAAGAATCACAATTCCTTTTTATCTTTTCACGCGACACAGAGTAACATGGAAACTTCCATCTAATAACAAATATCGATTATGTATTTCTATTTTTAATCGGGAATATTCACATTGGCTCACATGTCATGTGCACAAACAAAAGAATGAAACATATCTAATAATATACTCAATAAGAACGAGAAAAAAGAACAAATTTCGTTCGTGCACAGATGACTAGGTGAGTCAGTGTGAATATTCCCGGTTAAATATAGCAATGCATAATCGATATTTGCTATTACATGAAAGTTCCCATAATACTCTGTGTCACGTGAAAAGATAAAAAAGGATAGTGATTCTTTGATGGAGTAGCGATTAAAGAGTGATTAATAGAAAAGCGAGACCTCGTTTTGTACTGTGATTTCATTAGATGGGTAAGAAAGATTTCAAACGTCTGTACCGATCGATCAAAAGGGAACTCGGAACCATCACTTGCAAAACTTCTTATTTTTGTGATGAGTTTGATGAATCACGAAATTATGCTGGTGCAATTATCTATGCAATCGATGGAAAATTTGAGTGGACTAATCATAGTGAGTAAAACTATATGAGACACTTGAGAGAGATATAATTGTTCTTGTTCGGTTAAAAGGTGGAAGAGCAAATGGTTACAAAGGAAGAAGTTTCTATTTGATTATACAGTGTACAAATGATTGGCCAGAAGACTGTCGAAAACAGGCTGGACAAGGACGTGTACATGATTATCTACTGAAGAATGTTCTAGGCATTACATTCAACCAAGATCGTGTTGCTTGTGGTGGATTCGCATATGTAAATAGACAACTGAAGTTTAGCAGTGTCTGGCTGAATGAAAGAAATCAAATTGGTATAGAAAGTGATGGAAACAAGATGTTGAGTGAAGCAGAAAAAATCTTAGTAATGTATTGTTTCGATGAATATAAGAAACATGGTAGAAATCACAAGTTTGAAATTTCACCTCATATCGATCGATTATTATCAATCGACAATAACTCTTGCATTATCTCTTGAAGAACGCAACAGACATTTAACTTAATAAAAATTGTATTGATTGTAAAGGATTGACGTATCTTAATGCAGACCTCAAGTTTAGTGGCATCTAAAGTAATTGAAGTAGCAAAAACTAGTGCTAATAATGATGGATAAAATCTAGTGAGGAAAGGGTGTGGTGGATGTGGATGTAGGGTATGGTTGTCGATCTGTAAGATAATGAGACTCGCATCTGCACTCACAGTCATACCGACACCCACACCCACATACCCTACTCTGCACGCACAACCCACCCACATCCAAAAATAATTCACTTTTTTCTGTTTTCCTCGATGAGAACTGATGTATGCATGAGTTTCGTAATAGAAAATAGGAGTTTGAAAACGTAAAAGAAAATAGATTGTACTTGTGAAGAAACACCATTATCAAACAATAGAAGATCTCTTAAGTTTCTTAAGCTTGAATTCAATCATATATCGTAAACGAAGAGTTTGAAGATTTGAATTTTACTGAGCCTTACTTATGGATCGAAATTGAGCTCTAAAGTGAAGAATTAAATGAGACAGTGTCTTCGTTAATATTTTGTAGAAAAATAAAATCATTGTGAATTGAAGATCTTTTATTCTTAGATTCACTTGATATGCTACTGTCGTGACTAAGCAACAGACAAACCGCTGTTTCATTGTATTATTTCTTTTTTGTGTGTTTACCAAGCGAGAGGATGTAACATATCTATTTATCTTGGTACTTGCTTGACTTTATCAATGGTAGACTTTATATCTTTTAAATTGAGATCATAAGAGAAAGGTACCGAGCTCACAAACTGTGCACTAAACTGTGTCTCTGTTTATGTGAAAAAGAAAATACAAAAAAAGTGAGTAAAAAAATGAAGAGCGTTGTTTGCAAAAATCTGTATAACATTTGTTTCTATACGTCAAATTTTAGACAGTAATA